CCATGTTGACCAGGATGGTCAACATGGTGAAACCCCGTCTCTACTAAAAATACAAAAAATTAGCTGGGCATGGTGGCACATGCCTGTAATCCCAGCTACTCAGGAGGCTGAGGCAGGAGAATTGCCTGAACCCAGGAGGCGGAGGTTGCGGTGAGCTGAGATCGCGCCATTGCACTCCAGCCTGGGTAACAAGAGCGAAACTCCGTCTCAAAAAAAAAAAAAAGTGATAGCACACAAAAAGGCTTACATCATCTCATTTATCATGTTAAAAGAAACAAAGGGCCAGGCATGGTGGCTCACGCTGGTAATCCCAGCACTTTGAGAGGCTAAGGCAGATGGATCATGAGGCCAAGAGATAAAGACCATCCTGGCCAATATGGTGAAACGCTGTCTCTACTAAAAATACAAAAATTAGCTGGGCGTGGTGATGCATGCTTGTAATCTCAGCTACTCAGGAGGCTGAGGAAGCAGAATAGCTTGAACCAAAAGGCGGAGAATGCAGTGAGCCGAGATTGCGCCACTGCACTTCAGTCTGGGCAACAGAGGGAGACTCTGTCTCAAAAGAAAAAAGAATACAGAAAAAACATAACAAAGCAATCAACCAACATGTTAAGCCAATTCTGAGAATGGGCACATTTTATTTCTCTATAATCTCTGACCTCTACTTTCTCATCTATAAAATAAGTGCAGCAGAGTTTACATTTCAAGGTACAAAGAGGGTTAAATAAAATCATGCCCAAGGCTGGGCACAGTGGCTCAAGCCTGTAATCCCAGCACTTTGGGAGGCTGAGGCAGGTGGATCACCTGAGGTCAGGAGTTTGAGACCAGACTGGCCAACATGGTGAAACCCCATATCTACTAAAAATACAAAAAAAAATTAGGTGGGCATGGTGGCAGGTGCCTGTAATCCCAGCTACTCAAGAGGCTGAGGCAGGAGAATCACTTGAACCTGGTAGCTGAGATCGCACCATTGCACTCTAGCCTGGGGACAAGAGGGAGACTTTGTCTCAAAAAAGAAAAAAAAAATCATGCCCAAATACAGTACCTGACAGAAAATAGATACCCCAGTGATCATCTCTTGAGTAAGCCAAACAACAAGTGAAGCTGGAATGAGGGCAGCCATCCTGTCACAGGCAGGTCACTTCCAAAGGGGCCCTGGGCAATAGGCTAGTTCTCAAAGCAGCTGGGCTGACAGAACATGCAGCAAGAAGCAAAGGAGTGGGTGTGGTGTACACATGCAACAGTCTTGAGGAAATTTACTAGCCCCAGTTGACACTGGGAACTGGTGGGCTGCACTTTCTGTAGGCAGAGTAGGGAGGGAAAATCTGCAACCCCTAGAGACTTATAAATACACTCGACATTTGCACGTGTTATAACATTGGCAGGCCAAGCCTCCCTGCCCCCAGCTGACAGTGTCGCACCCCCAGGTCCCTGAGCTGTTCATCCCTTTTCTCTAGCAGCTTCAGAAGTCACAGCACGTATAGGGCGGGGGTCGAGGTGCGGTTGTTACCTGCTGGGCTATCAGCACAGAGCTCTTGGGCCCAAGGCGCAGCAGCTTCTCTGGAGATGGAAAAGCCAGGAAGGTGGAGACGTCTGCAGGAGGTGGCGAGGACAGCACAGGAGCTGGCTCCTGGGAAGTGGGGGCACAGAGGCTCTGTAGAATTCTCTGTAGAACTCTGTAGAGTCTGGGGCACAGGCCCCACACTCCCCAACACAGCTGTGCCCATCCCCAAACTCAGCACATCCACCCCTCACTCTAGCCCATCTAGGCGCAAAGTCTAGAATTCTTCCTCCCTTCCTTTCTATCAACATCACCCAGAGATGCTGGCCCTGGCTGGCTCTTGGTCCAGGAGGCTTTGGGGTCAGGCGGAACCCACCTACCTGGGACTCAAAAAAATCTGCTACAGTCAAGGAGATCCTCATCATATATACAGTACCCCAGAAATGACTAAAGACACACATGGGGTCTAAAGTAGGTCCCCGTAGAACTACAGTCCACCCTGGGTAAGCCCTGCTAGTACCAAGGTGGCCAGAGAAAAACCTGAACTGGGGTATACCTATTAGCCAGGTGTGGTGGTGGACACCTATAATCCCAGCTACTTGGGAGGCCAAGGCAGGAGAATCGCTTGAACCCAAGAGGCAGAGGTTGTAAATGTGAGCCGAGATCACACCACTGCACTCCAGCCTGGGTGACAAGAGAGACT